GCCGGTTGTACTTCTTGGCCGGCCGGATGGGCGACGACGATGACGACGTGGACACCTGTTCCGGTTCCCGGTGGTCCAGCACCACCGTGGTCGGGATCTGCGAGATGCTCGCCACCTGCGCGACAGTAAAAAAAAAAAAAAAAACACACGTGTACTGACGAGATCGTACGAGTTTTGACTAAGGGACCGGTAAGTTCACGCGTTCGTATATCAATCTGACCGGGTCGTGTCGTTCGTTTGTATAATAATCGAATACGACGATTGGTCTTAGGTTTATACCGAGTGCTAAAGCGATTTATACATTCGTTCGTATGGCTCAACGGATTTGAAGGATTTACTGTTAAACATTTACGTATTTCGTTTGTTTTTATTGAAAAATTATATGAACTTTTAAAATGATTTACATTTTCAGGAATTTTACACGTCGATTATTGTTCACTGCATAAGTTAACGTGCTCATTTATGAGATTTTTAGTGCATTGATTTACGAGTCGTGATAACCATTATTACAAGTATGTATGAAAAATAGTATTTTAATATTATTTCGGGCGCTTTCTTTAATAATGTCTCTTCTGATAATAACGTTTCACTGATGTGTCAAGAAATTTAACAATTTTACGTATACAATCAAATAAAAAGGTTAATTTTTAACGCTATTTGTTGAAATTGAAATCAATACGTTATAATTGAGTTTAATTTTTAAGTTTCGAATATCCAATTCTTTTGGCAGAAAGGAAAATGAAAACTAATTTTGATATAATAATTGATAAGTATGTACTTTCAGTTTTTCATACAAATATCCTCAATGGTCGTGTGGTTTTTAAGTTATTTATCATTTTAATATTAATGTAATATCACAGACCAATATAATAGCGATGATTTGCGATGAATTGCATTCGTTAAAATCTACACGGTCAAAGTTATTAGTTTTTACGAATTTTTGACTAATGTAATAATAAATTGATTACGTAATTATATAATGCTAATAAATTTTTATCCGATCGTCTTTGAGAGCGCATAATCAATAATCATAGAGGTACATGTATTTTTAAACCAGCTCATTTCGTAAAAGATTTAATATATGCCGATTAGTTCAAAACAATATTATGTCAGTTACATGCCACACCTATCATATAATTATTTATGATAATGATGTAATGCGATTGATATTTGCTAGCAAGTAATGGACGATAGACGATAACTAGTGGAGTTTGATTAACGGAGAGGTTAAAGGGCTTGCCTAAAAAAAATTGAAACATATATTTACAAACTTCTAACAGTTTTTTCCTCTTTCCGTGCTATATCTTTCGAAATATAAGAAGACTTTTTGAAAGCAGTGCATAAATTTATAAAAATGTACATATGTTATAATTTTTACTACAGAAAATAAAGAAACGAACAATAACTCAAGAAGTAAACATGAAATTTTGGTAGATAATAGTTGAACTGATTCAGTAGCAGGAAGTAATATCCATTGATTTTTGTGTTTTATACTATCGCATAAATAATACTCTCTCAAAATTCAGACGGAATTTTATGTATTCGTTATCATTGCAAAGGTTGGATTTTCGTGGCGATCCTGAAGCTGTTACGGCGCAAAAAGAAGTATGGTAATTAAACGGATAATATACGACGGCCAGTAGACTACGTGACGTGTGTGCGAGTGCGGCATTTTACCTCGGCGGCGATGAAGGACACGAACCCCTGACTAGTGGGGCAGTACTGCTGGAACGACTGAGACATGTCGCTGTCCAGACCATCGATGTATTGGAAGTCAAAGTCTGGCAAGAGGAGATCATCGACGTTCTGCGCGGAGGCCCCGTCGCCGGCTACCAGTAGTGACATCGATGGCATGTCGTCGTCGATCATGACGATCGTGTTGCCATTGATGCCGTTGCCGTTGCTGGTCGTGGCCAGCACATCCTGCATGTCCACGGAGGACGTTGATGGATACGAGACATCTTGCATCGACTGCGGTCCAGGAGACGAATTTTGGCTGTCCGACGCCGTTGACACTAATGGCTTGACATCCTTGTCGCCGTACCTGCACCGATTACAATGCATACAACATTACATTACGTCAAACACGCGTGTTCATAAGCGGGGGTTTTTTTTTTATTTGGTGAAAACATAGAACAGAAGTGCACAGTTAGGTTAAGTTAGGTTAGATTATATTAGAGGCGGACTGAGTCCCTGAAGGCCTGGATGATTTTTATAAACTAGTTTAAATTAGTAAAAAGCGTTTAAAAAAAAAAAAAAATAAACAAATTTAGCTTGAGGACCGGAGAGCCTGAATGGGTATGGCCACCTACCCGTTTTGCCCTAGTCCACTCTTTATTGAGAATAGTTATAAAAATAATCCATACGGTTATTGCACATTTGTTTTTTTATATTCTATCACTCAAGTTTTGACTCCATTATTAGCTAATATAAAACATAATCATAATCACGAGATCGTCTAGAGGTCAAGATGTGCTGCAATGGAATTGCAATGTAATATAGTCAGAATTTTTATTAGGTTTCACGTACCTGAAGATATATTTAGTTTTAAATATTATCAAATAGTGTCTTGCGAAAAGAAGAAGAAAGGAAATAAAAAGAAATTTTTTCAAGTATAAATCTATTCTGAGTGAAAACTGTAAAAGTTTCTATTTTAAAAATCTGAAATCATATTTTCAAACTTCATGTTGGTATTCATTTCCAAATAAATATTTTTTGTTCTTAATTCTAAATTTATATAATTGATTAATAATTATTTGTTCAGTAATTTGTATATAATATTAAACTGTAGTAGTTATACGATGTAGTATATTTGTAATGATTATTATTAGAATATAATAAAGAATTTTTTCGCATATTTTTTAATTTTTATTTTTGTACATAAAAATGCAGGCTTTATTAGTGGTCAAATTTTGCGAGTGATACCCATATTAATTCGACGTGTTTACGTAAAATTTTACCAGTTTAAGTAATTTTCACAAAAACTAATATCGAAAATTAATTTTTTACTTTCACTTTGAACGCTGCGCTCAGGATAACATTCATCGGTGGCAAATCATTATTAATTATTAAATCGTTAATCATACATCGTATTACAAGTGTTTCGAACCTGTTATGAACGATCTACAATAATATATTCTACCGATCACTGTATTATAAATACAACAAATGGATTTTCGTAAAGATTACGGACGTCGTGTACCGTCATCGGGTACGACTTGGAGCAGCATTTTAAAGATTACGTAGAACATTCATTTTTAAGTCAAGTCAGCGGGTAAATAATAATAGGTATTGACATACTCGTCGTTAAGAAATAATGGATTTAAAAACATTTGTGGTGGGCATATTATGCCTTATGTACGAACAATATATCAAATGTTGAAACGCAACGAATTGCGTTCCTCGTCCTCCGAAAGTACGACGGATGTGCGACGTGAATTACAAAAGCATTGTACGAAACCGTTTGAACTTTTGCGGTTTTCTAAAAAATAGTAGTCACTAAGGAGAGACTCGCACGTGGGTAAAACGCGAGGGGTTATGCGATTTTCGTCTAACGATCTAAAATCGAAACGGACGGCAAGTGGCCTATCGAAACCGGGGCCGAACGGGTACGTTGTTTTACCTCTGGTGATGGTTATGATTGGTTTTGCCCAGTAAAGCGTTCCGGAGCAGTTCGTCTCCGGTGTACTCGGTGGACTCCTGTTTGATGTAGTCCGACGGCTCTTGTTTGATGTACCGGCTGGAGCCGACCGGGTCCGCGGTCTCGGTGCCGTTCATCGACAGCAACGTCTCGTCGAAGTTGTTCACCGCGTTGGTGTCCTGGTGGTGTTCGGTGAGCGCGGGCATGCACCACAGTGGTTCGCCGGCACCGCCGTCCGAGTTGTTCACGACCTCTACCGTGTAGATGGCGCCGTCCGTGTTCAACGTCCGCCATTGGTCCGCTATGTCGGACTTGTCGGGAAACGAGCTGGGCGCGCAGTCCAAGTCGAAGCTGTGGTCGCTGCTGATGATCGTTTCGAAACCGTTATTATTGTTGTTGTTATTGTTGTTGGTGTTGTTGTTGTTGTTGTTGTTGTTGTTGTTGTTGTTGTTGGCGAACGCGAATTCGTTGTTGTTCCTCTCTGTAACGATAACAACGTGCAGTATAGATTTTCACGACAAGTGATTTCCTAGAGATAACCGATGCGCGCATCGACCGTACGCACACGGGGTGTCAAAATAATTTATTGCCCGTGAACGTTTTTACACAACCGTAACACATTTTTTAACCATATACTAGTATTTTTTATGGTTACCGTCGTTTATCGATAACTATATATAAATTCTATATTTTGCGACAGGTCACTGGTACAACAACCTATTGAGGCGCCTAAACTACGTATCATCTATGTAAACTATTATGTCTAATACGAACGGATTTAGTTACGTTTCGATTTGCGATACGAAAACCATTGCACGTAACATTTTACGAATAATCGTGAAAATAGTTGATATGAACCCGTTATAAGTTTTATTAATTTAGAACAAAAAGTCCGGGTGATATTGTTTGGTGATATGAGCAAAAAAAAAAAAAAAAAATGCAGTGCAACGATTATTATTAATATAATGTTGTATAATGTAATATTATAACCTACCTGATAGAGTTGGATCGTTTAGTAAATGATCCACAGACGTGTTGATCCGGTGTGATCCATCGTGAAGGGTTTCCAGATGAAGCCCAAGCTCCATTAGTCGAAGACTATCTCGGTTACCGGTGTCTGGGCCGTTGTCTCCCGAATACAATGCAGTCTTTAAATAATCACTGGACGCAACGTCCATAATATTGCGAAATTGGGTTTTGTTGTTTAAACAGTATTTTCACGACGTGTCACTCTCAATCACATTTTCAATGCAGCAATACGAACGTCCGAATTGACGCGTAGGTAATTCTTGTATGCGAACGCGGAACTAGATGGCAAAACAATCTGTAAAATACGTATTAACTATTGATTAGATTAACGGAAATATCATTATTAATAATTCACGGAATACGTCGTGAATTACAAACACAATTAAGAAAACTAATGTAGACATAACGTTTATAATATAAGTTTAATGGTAGTGTTTGTACATGTATTTGAATTGGAATCATTTTCGACAATCAGGGAGAAATATACTCGAATAATTATTTTAGGTTAAGTGTACTTAAGTTTTTGAAAACCTTGATTTCTATTGATACTTGTTCAGTTACATATATTCTTTGTTTTGAGTTTCAGCGCCTATAGTCGTTATACGTATGATTGCATTTGTAGGTTAAATATCTTAACGTTTCTGTCCGATACGTAAATATAAATAAAATAAAATGTATTAATGTAATATAACGAGCCATAAACGAGAGTTTATAAATATATATTAAGATATAACGAACTCTTGATGGTTTTGTACAATTTATATAATAAACACACTGATTTTGGGTTTAAAAAGTGCAAATTTTTGTCGTGAAGTCTTGTAGTAGATCTGGAATATGATAATAACAATTTAAGAATGAATGTGCCAGCATGAAAAGTACCTATATGGCATACTTTTAAAAAGTGTCAGTAGAAGTTGTTTTTGTTGAGATTTATTGCTTCGATTTATATTCTTAAACTTCTAAAACTGTCAATACATTTTATAGCTTTTTCTTTATTTATACTTTATGTTCGAAAAAAAGTTGATAAATTATTACATTTAATTAAGTAAACAGGAACACTCGCACTTGTTTTTGAAACCCATATAAATTATATTTACATTATTATTTTCAACTAGTAATTATAACTAGTATTTTTAATGTGTAATTATATATATATAGTAGATAATTTACACACGTATAATACATATTTATGTACCTACATAAAGTGTTTGATGTGAAAAATTGAGTATAAAACCTAACCATATATTATAATGACCAGACCCGCATGATTTAGGAGAGAGAAGAAACAGAATTATGTTTCTTATAATGTCTTATAACGTTTTATTAGGTTTTTTTATATTAAGCCAAGATTTGATATTTTTAGATACAAGCAATTAAAATGTTCAATATTAATGCAGTTGGTTTAAATCGCATTTCAATGATAAAAGATCCGAAGAAGTTTATAACAAATATTTTCACTTATTTAACGTTCACTCACACTCGATGTTTCGGTACAGAACAGTACCACCACTGCAGTTTTGTGAGTGGGAAATGAGAGGCAAAACGTTAATTCCAAAAAGTTATCTAAACGCAAGCACCCAGATGTCATACTCCCGTCAGCAGTGTTCCGTACAATTATTTTACATTATATTTTCTAATAAATCATGCTCGGTTGGTATGTGTGCGTAAAATAATTTTATACGTGACATCATACAACATAAATTTGGCGATAAATGTGAGGTAAAACTAATTACTGTGGTTGGTATTCAGGACGCGTAGTGCATGTACCCAGAATAATCATAATAATAACAATATATGTTTACGGCCCGGAGCTAGTCGTTACCGTTCGTCTGTGCGCCCGACCGAAATTATAGTGCAATTTCCGAGTGCAATTTTTTTTCCGGACGACACGACGTTAAATGTAGATGTTATTAGCGGTGAAATCCAGTCGACCGGACGATTAGAACGGATCTTTGGATCATCGCCGTTCGGTGTGCAGTACAAAATAAAATAATTAAACAAATGAATAATAACGACGAGAGAAAGACGGTACACGCGTACAAGACATGCAGCAGGCGGAGTCCGTCTTTCGGTTGCACAACAGTGTTTTTGCTACCGGTTCGCACTCATAACGTATGGGATGTGCGAAAACTGACGTTCATTAACGGAGTGTATCCGTTTAGACTCGGAGATAAATGTTATTTTCGTATAACATTTACGCGCGTACCGTAACGTGCGCGTGTGTGAATATTCAGCCGTTTGGGCGGTCGCCAATAACCTATAATTCGGTGACGTTTTCACTATTCTCTTCTCGAAATCCAATTTATATTTTCAAAAAAAAAAAAAAAACCGCGTTTGACACGGCTGTTTTCGTTTCACACGCCTCTTTTTCTTTTTTCCATTTTTCTTTCTTTTTCGCGTCTTGCACGCGTTCGCGTACGATTTCTCATCGTCGAACCGTACGAATGTATTAACACAATACATCAGTAATACGTACGCGCACCGTTCGTACGTTATCGGTACTCCGCCGTACGCGTATGACAAACGTGTAGAATAAGTGATAAGCGATTTTATTTATTTCGTTTGGTCCTGCGCTCACGTGTCGAAACATCCAGCATACACTGGTGTACACGTTTCACGTACACGTATTCTCGTTCGATGTACTTGGTAACATTTATTATACACGCGCACCACTAGTACACGAATCGCCCGGGGCCGTAGTAACCTACTTACGGGCGTCGGCTTTTCAAAATACGTACGCACACGTACGGGCGCGCGCACGCACAAGCACGCGTACGAGCACCGCACGTATTTTTTCGCTTTAGATTTACTACTACCACGACTACTTCGTTCGCATGGGTATCGTACGTAGATTACACACCCGGAGTCGCAGAGGTAATCAATCGGTTTCATCGGTACGTTATGTTTTTCGCCGTACACCTCACGCGCACCGCGGTGGATCGTGAACTTAACATCCTTTGAGCGAAACCGTTTGAAAAACATTGATTGCTCCACGCACATATCGCGATGACGGCGGCAAACGGTAGATTTCGTCGTTTTCGATTTCCGACGGGATTCGGTGCGGGTTGGGCGTGGGAAAAAAAAGCGTGCTTGTCGTACCCACGAACATCTACATTAAATAGGTGTCCAAGGAAACAGCGGGCGCGTTCGTTATTTTTCTCGTTCTCTCGTCACTATTATGATGTACACGCACCACCACCACTGGACGATTGCAGTTCAGCGCAGTATTTTATGCAAGACCCACACACAATGCATACACGGTCGCGCTCGCAGCCGGTAGGTATGTCGGAAACATGAAATTTCAATGCTAAATCGTAGAACGTTGTGTGTGTGTGTGTGTGTGTGTGTGATGGAAAGCCGCTGAGAAACTGAGAAAGTTTCGGTGCACGAAGTCGGGACAAAGTGTGTCACGAACACGTTCGGGTACATACGCTAATGTTATACACACGTAGGGGTAAAACAACGTCAAGGGTCCTGCTGCCGTGAAGTGATAATAGTATTTGCAATGCGAAACGTAAATGTACGTGCACGTATCGTTATGAGGCTTGGAGGGGTGGTTGTAGTAGGGAGTAAATATCTAAAGACGAGTACCGCAAAAATAATATTATACAGTAGCGTATCTCGCTCGTACTACGATTACACGTTCTACATATGTATAATATTGAAGTTCTATATATTATAATACGTATTCATACATTGCAATATCGTTACACTCGTGTGAATACCATTATGATAATATTACGACGTATTGATACTTTCAAATAGTAAACATATGGGTTCAATCTCGCATTGTGACAAATCATTTTTCATATAGTAAAAATTAAACTCTAAATCGTCTTAGGCGATAAAATCGTGGACGAGTTCATGTTCGAACGGAATTCTAAACGGAAATTAAAATAAAAAATGCATGCCTTTTTATTTTCTTATACATTATTTATTTGCTTAAAAGATTTACATCCAAACTAAATAACGAACATTATGGAAGCATATAGATCTTTCGATCGCAACGATTTAGTTATTATTATAATATTCAATTTCTGTAAAATTAATATCATTTGGAATTCAGTTTTTAAATAAATTACGTAGGTATACAAAGTATGTATTATATATTTACATTAAGTACAGCACATGTATTGTAATAATGTTAAGGTATTTGGCAATGTTACATAAATTATATAACTTTACAATTTACATGGTTTGTAACGCTTGCATATTATACCGTACGATAATTATAATTGTTATGATTTATCCTATTTGTCGGCGTTGAGTCATAAAACGATATATATATATAAAAATATGATTTTTAGTACATACTATAATATTATACAGTTATAGGGATCGAATATTTTTTAAATATATAAAATATTAAAAAGAAAAATTAATCCCTAGTTACACAATATGCATTCGTTATGACAGTATTGGTGGCTGACAAGTTTAACTTGAACTACCAATAAAAATCATTGCAATATCTTTGTTTCGTGGGAAATTATATGATCGTTTGAAATTATAAACAAGTGTATTAGATAGGTTAAAAAAAAAAAAAAACGTGAATAAAACAATTGCAGTTTATATAAAAACTAGTTTGGTGTGTTTCTGTGCTGCATTACACCTACAGTAGATAGTATTCTCAATATGGAATGGCAGAAATATACTAATTAAATATTCGCTACTATGGTTTTATTTTTCTCAACAATTTTATTTCCAATCAATATGTTTCACCGAATAATAACTTCTAAATTATCGGTACATGAATGATTGGACGCAAGGCCAAAACGAATCGATTGAAACGGCAGGTGGACAATGAGAAAGAGAGAGAAATTACATTTAAAAACTTTGCAAATAACAACTCATTAGGTCTGCATCATCAAATACTCATCTACAAGCATATTTCGATTCTATAATTAATATAATCATTTGTGTTTCAGTTAAATCTATACAAAAAAAAAAAAAAAAAAAATATAAATAAATAAATAATAATACGGTTGCGGGATATATTTATAGTTTTCGAGAAATTGATGTTCTGAAACAATCACGAACAACTGCAGCTTTCTAGAAAATTATGACGAGAAACACTATATGCTGCATGTAATAATATATATACAAGTATATGAGTATAAGCAAAAAGGGAGATTACATTTCACTCGCATACTACATTGCGGGTGAACTTTTTTTACGTATTTTTTTTTCTTTTATGATTGCAGTCTGAATACTTATCTCATTACATGTTGCAGTACGCGCAATCACAGTTAAAATAAGATTACCATATAATACGTATACATAGATAATTATATATTA